AATACAAAAAAAAAAAAAGAAAAAAAAAAAAGCAGTAGTCAAGTATACTATGAGAAGAAATAATGGAGGATAAGAACGACACTTTGAATGTGCAAGGAACCGTGAAAACATTATCTAATGTGTCAGATTCCAGAAACCCGTAAAATCTTGATGGTCGTTGTAAAGATCCTAATGAGAATTCTTAGCTGTAGACGATCATTCTTATTTAAGCCGTCTTACCAACCGTGCTGTTAGAAACTCATGTATCTTCCACTGTATCAGAGCTAATAAAATTTTTTTGGTTTTTTTTTTTTTTGGAATTAAAATTATAATTGAATTGAACAATGGGAAATAGAGAATGAAAAGGAATAGTAAAAAAGCAAATTTGGTTTTGAGACCCAAGGTTTTACGGTAACATTTGGTCATCTTTTGACTTGGAGATAAAGATCTAAACTAAAATGATAATTGTAATAATAATTATAATTAAAAACTGATAATAGTAATAATAATAGTAATAAAGATAATGATAATAAAAAAATTAAAATAAAATCGATTGTATTTATCGGTCAGCTGTAAAGGCATAAACGTTCTGATAAAGCTGTAGCTTCTCACCCATTGACTGCTGTACTTCAACGGAATGAGGCCAATCGTCGATGTTGGAACAGTACAGCAAACGATAGAATTTGAAATAATTTACGCTAAATTCAATACTCCATTGTCGGCAACCTCTGAAATTTTATCTTTACTATTAGGCCGAAAAGAAAAAACTATCAGCTGGTTATCTCTCAGAAAATATTGAACAAGTGGCTTTTATCAAGAAAAAAAGTTGAACTGATTTTTTTGTCATTTTATTATGAAACAATCGTATATAACTCAATACTGCTTCAACTTTTAGATGAACTTTTGGAATTCACGAAGATTATTTGCCGAAAAACATAGTAAAGGAAAAAAATAACAGAAAGTAGCAATTGAGACTTCAGTTTATTCAACAAAATGACATAAACTAAAATTAAAATTTCTTTAACAAATTTATGAAGATGTTAACGGGATATTTCTGACCCCACAAAGTTTTTTACTGCAGTTAAAACTGGGAAAGTGGGGAGGAGGGGTGGAAGGAGGGAGAAGTGCAAAAGAGAAAATCGAAGGAGAATGGGACTGACGCAGCAATTTCCTGTTAATATGTCTTTAAACATCTTTAAACCAAGCGGATTTTCACGTCATGATATTAAACCCCGCAAAAAATTCTCAATATTAAGTGGAAACTGTGAACAGCCCGAAAAACTTTGTATACGATAGGTATAAAAAAAGAATTTAGTGTTGAGCGATTCCTTTAAATAAAAACGTTTGAACAACTTAAGGATACTGATGTTCTTAGTAAAAGATAAATGTTAAGTTGAAATTAGCCTACAACTATAAATTTAAACTGTATTTTCTTTACCAATTTTGTTGACCAGTAACAAAATGGCATAATTGGTATAAATTTTTTTTTTTATTTGCTTTTATATTCTTTTGTATTCAATTCTACGTTAAAATCTGTCTTGAAAAATTCAAAAAAAAATTGCATAAAACTTTTGTTTAATTAAAATTTATACTACTTAACAGCTCAACACTAAAATATTTTATTGATAGTTATGGTATGTGTAATATATTAACTATTTTCTTGCTTAAATTTGTAGCACTTCAATTGATTAGAGAAAATCTGCAGAAAAGAAGAAAAAATATCAATTGTTTCTTGAAATTTGAATTCTTAATTTTTTGAAATGATATAATTTTAAGTCATCTTTAAAGCAGTTATTGGTACTTATAAACAGTCATTTCCTGTGTTGCTAAATGCGCGTAAAAAGTGATAAATCTTTATGACTTAATTCCAAACTTATAAGTTTCTCAAACATAGAGTAACGGTTTAGAAAGAATTACAAGGTTGGAAATTTTGCAAGAACCTATAAGGAAGTCAAACTTAATAGAGTTTTTGGTAGAATTTGGTAAGCAATTTTTCTACAGGTTTTTGATAATAGAAACAAGATGAGTTGACTTAACACGTCCTAAACATTTCTTTCTTAGCAAATTTAGAAAGTAACGATAATAATCTGATAGAGTGCAGAAGCTAAAGAAGAAGTAAGAAGAATTAGCAACAGAAAAAAATAACACTTTTTTTTGACTCTTCACTCAAGCTCTCTGAAAATTTTTTGTTTTCACACTTTAAGATTGTCTGTCATATATGTAATGTGTGTGTATAACGAAACTGTTAATGAAGAAGAAAAAAGTGGTATAAATTGTCTTTCATTGTTGGCGGTGTCATTAATTATAGTTCAGTTGTTGAATGAAGTTGATTGTGCTGATAAATTGACTACTCCCGGTTGTGCAAAAACACTAACGGCGATTATTCGATGTCAGCAGTTTGAGAGAAATGAAACAATAAGGGGACAACTGCTGCTGCTTCCGGAGCTGATACTGATACCGGTAGAAATATTGAACAGCAAAAATGTGTAAATCAATTGGCTGTTTTCTGGTTCAGTTTTATTGTTGTTTTTCTGTTTTACAAAGAACAGTTTCAAGGCTACCGCAAAATTGCCACTGTGCTGCACCAGACAAACGAAACGTGGGTTTTAACAAAAAAAAAAGACTAATATTTTTAGTTCTAATGCTTTGTTAGCAAAAAATGTCATCTTCAATAAAGAGTTAATTAATCTGGTCAGTTCATGCATTGTTGTCATTTGAATTACTTCAAGGACTACTTGACAACGGTTTTAGGTTGGAACCTGAATGATACAGTTGTGACATTAATAAGTGTTACTTTTTTCTGCAATGACGAATGTAATGTAAGACCTTTCGACATTGAAGCTCTAAGTTGATCATAAAAGTAACATCACTTTGTTAGTTTTTTTAAATGGTCGTAGCTAGAAGTTTTAGATAAATCAATATACCTAGCAATTATCCATTTATCAGCTTTTTCCTCAACTGTTTGTTTTTTTCTTGTTTTGCTTTTCAGATTCACTGTAATTTTTAAAACAGGCGTTGTTAAACAGTTTGGTAAGTATTGTTAGTTGGTCATTGACTGTAATTTGCGATTCACGTGCATTTCCTCACTCAGGTCGAAAACACATAACAGTAATCCTGGTTTCTTTTTTAAATCAAAGAAACTTTTTAAATTTAATAAATTGTTCATTACTGAAAAGCAGAAAGCAAAAAAAGAAAAAACGACAGGTTATTGAAGATTTGCTATTAAAACTCAAGATTCTTTTCATTTTTGCATCCCCAGTTATTACAAACAACTTTTTATAGACAAAGCAACTTTTTTTGGCTTTACTGTCAGAATCACATAAAAAAGTCTTGACAAAGAAAAAAAAAGCAAAAAAGGAAGTGAAAAAAGCAGAAGAGTAAATGATTTTTCGGTGAATAAGTTTCATAAAAACCTGAAGTTTCGGCAAATTATGATAACGGTACCTGTAAGCACGATTTTCCACCACCAGTTTTGGTGAACAAAAATGCATCAACTGTGAGCGATAACGTTTTAAAGTTTTTTTCAGCTTTCGTCTTTCCAGTTTCATTTCTCGTAACACCTCACGACTCAATTTGTTTTTGTTGCGAAAACATTTTTCAACTGGTACTTCTTCATCTGATTCGTCATCATCCTAAAACAGTTGACTATAATACCCAAACGTCAAAAAAAAAATATTCGAATTATGTCAAAGCTCGAGATTCTATAGTTTAGTGTCTTGAAAACAGCGGGCACAGTGAATCCAGCAGGAATTACATTTAGATCAAGTTTTCAACAACCTTATCACACGATTTATGCCTTACCAATAGTTAGCATACCGATGACATAGGTTTAACTTATAACAGACAGCAATAGGAAAATTAGATATAAATCAACGGTAAAATTTCTGCAACTATTTGATCTGAGAAAATGATCTTTTTTAGGCTATGAATTAAGTTTTCTGCAATCATTGTGAAAATAGAACCGTACTTCTTCCGTAGTATCATCGTCTAAGGGCAATTGAGCATAATTCTCAACCCTTCCGACATAATTAGTTTCGAGTGCAGCTGCAGTGTCCTCAGCTTCGTTAACTTCGGGAACTCCGTTTAAATTGGCACGTTTCACTGTGATAGCTAATGTCGCTAGCTTTTTTTCATCAGTTTTTGGTTTTGTTTCGCTCTTTACAGGTAACAGCGAATCAGATTCTAGAACAGTATTAGATGCCTCATCGTCATTGGGTGGTGAAGCAACTACAGATGATTGCGAAACCTCTTGGATACCGATTACCATCGGTTTGGTAATGTTGCTTTCCAGCCGTATTTCAATACGCTCGATCGGTTGATCGGGATCGGGTCGTTCAACTGTAGTAGGGCAAAATGTCAAAATATTAATATTTAAACAATAAATTTGGTAGTATTGTAAGCATTTTAACGCTTTTCAAATTCAAAACTTTTTTGAAACTGGAAAAGATATTCTTCAAGCTGCTTTATCCTCCAAATTTATATTGCTGTCTTATGAACATTACTGCTCATATAAAACGTCTTTGTTTAGCTATTAATTAACCGCTGTTTTTTTCAGTGTAGTGCTCTTACCTTTATTTTACCATTTTAGTAAAGATCTTTCTTAGCCTCGCTCGAGTGGAAAGTAGTAAAGCGGTTTTCAGTTATTCAACTTACTCAGTACTTCAGAAATTTAGCTACAAACTTATTTAGAAATGGTATTTCAACAGTAAATTTGGTATGAGTTTAAACCAAGCAAAATTTCACCTTTCACTGAGGTGGAATCTATGATAACAGAGTTCTCACTCTCTGAAAGTACTACGGAATCTGTGTCACGACGTATCCTGATAACACTTCCGAGAAGCCCATTAAAGCAGAAAATGATTACAACTACTTCGAAAGTTAACATAATCTACAGAACTCCAACCTAAAGCACAGAGAGATGATAGCTATTGAAATGTAATTAACCATGCCGACGAAATCATTCTCTAACCTTGAAATGTTACTTTTTGAGTTAAAAAGCAAAAAGGTTATTTTGTACTGCTAACCAACCTAATATGACTAAGCGACACGACAAATTTTTGAAAATACACGAAAACCTCTGAAGTTTAAAACGCCAAGAGAGGAACGAGTAAATTAAAACACTGGTACATAGCAATAGGATAGTATGTTCACCTCCATCATTGACCACAAAAACATAACTTGAAAAAGCTAAGAGTTCAAGATTTATTTCATCACTTTTTTACTACATTTTTCTATACTCAAAAGAAAAGTTGAAGTTGGGTGAGAAATAATCAAACTGATTGTAACATACGGTACTTTCGTTCTGAGCAAACGAAAAACACAGCAAGAAACTGTTCAATCATCCGAAAAGTATAAAGGAATTACTGTTTAAAATATATTTTGAACGGTACAAGACTTCTATGTGAATTCAACAATAGGTATAAAGCAGCAGATTGTTAGCCATACCAATAGACGACAGTTTACAAAGCTCAACCAAAGTGTAAGTGTCTTATCGTGGTGCTTGTTCAAAAATCACCCCATTAAACTTAGTTTCCACATATCACAGAGTCAGATTTCCTCAAAAACTTATCGTTTGAACTTCGAGATCATTTTTTTTTGATCACAAGAAAATCACCGCCATTTTCACCAAAAAAATGTGTGTCTTATCATTGTGCATATAGGAAGAAGAAACAGAGAGAAGAGAGTAAAAGAAGAACGAAGAATATCAAAGTCAAAGTGCTTTGAATAATATGCTCGAAATAGTAACCTTAAAAACGGTTTGTTTTGTGGGTACCGCACGAATTTTGAGAAACGAAAACTGAAAAGAAGCTAAAGTAAAATTAAGTTTTTCAACGGGGTTTCTCTAACCAGTAAACACAAAACACACACAAACACATACACTAAGGAAATGCTGCTCTACTATGCTCGATAATCTCAACCAATAAATTTTTGGAACTGCTGTTTAGCATCGTCGTTATCATCGAGTTGAAAATGTATATAAACGACAGGCGCTACCGGTAAAACAAAAACAAAAAAGAAAAAAAAAAGAAAAAATTTATAGGATTAAAAAGAAGTTAAATATTTTTCAAAAACTGCTCAATTTTCAACGAAGTTTCCAATTGATATGCATCGATTTGTTTCAGTGTATATGTTCAGTAATGTACGTATAACACACACATTCCAGGATCAGTATAACGCTTCTTCAGAAATTTTTATGTCAGTTCCGTTCGTTTTCCAAAATCTGTTTCACTTTCGTCTTGGCTTTCACTTCACAAACTTACAAACATACAT